CACTGTCATATTTATTAACTATTTAGTTCCTGTAAACAATACCTTATATTTTTTTTTCTTTCTTTTTATTGAGGTTATTGGTACAATCTAAGTATACAATACAATTACATTCATCATTCTGAGTCCTATATTAATTTCACAAACAAGAGAAAAGATAATGAAATTAGATCATTACTTTCCCATGTCCATTTATCTGATATCACTGTCATATTTATTAACTATTTAGTTCCTGTAAACAATACCTTATATTTTTTTTTCTTTCTTTTTATTGAGGTTATTGGTACAATCTAAGTATACAATACAATTACATTCATCATTGGGATTCTGTACCTTTACATAATAGGTCTTGATTCTCATTTTTTCCCCTTGTTCCTGCCCTCCCTTCACCCTCTCCTCCCCTCCCCATTTACAAACATTTTATTTCCATTTTTTCAGTTTCTCATATTTTTTTCCTCTCCCTTATTACCTTTCCCCCACCCTTCCCACTTTCCTTACACCTTTAGCCCTTTACTTCCTATTTCACATTATTAATTGTCTCATTAGGATCCTGTGTACTGTTATAGTTTTTCACACCAAAGAAACTATTTGGTATTTCAGTTAAAGAAATCTCTGTATGAACATTAAAAATAAGGAATCCTAAAATAAAACTAAAAAGGAAAGTAAAAGAGAAAAAGCAATGATGTAACATCAAAATAATCCTTAATTCTGGAGATGAAACTGGTCCCTGAACATATTTAAAATGCTTCTCGCTCTTATAGTCTTATCTTATTCTTTTTTCATTATTTAGATAATACTTTATTAGTTTCTGTAATCAAACCCATGTAGATATGACCTTACATATTTAGTACGATGTGTTACCCCTGTACACAGGAAAAAAATAAAAATAAAAAATAAAAATAAATTAACATTTCTAGACCAATAAACAAAAACCAAAAGAATAATATCCAGACAACAGCAAAGTTCTGTTGCTGCTGTGGTACCTGGCACCATTTTTTCTATTAGCCTCTTAATCATCATCTGGAAAGAGAACATTCTAGAGTAATATCATTAAATGTAGCTCTGATAAAGCACGGTCCCTACTATGTATCATAAAGCAGGTACTAGATATTTTACATTCATAGAGGTATGATACAGTACTGTCCTACATCAATAATACTAGATTCAGTTTTGGTTTGAAATTTACTTTGTCTGCAAATAAGATTGCTACCCCTGTTTTTTTCTGGGCTCCTGTCACATGGAGAATTGTTTTCTATCTTTTCACTTTCAGTCTATGGGCTTCTTTTTGCACTAGGTGTGTTTCTTGTATACAACATATTGTTGGATTTTGCTTCTTATTCCATTTTGCCAGTCTATTTCTCTTGATTGGTGAGTTGAGGCCATTGACATTGCTGGTTATAACTGATATGTACTGACTTATTATTGACATGTTATTGGCCTTTTGTTGACTCTTTTTACTTTTTCACCTTCTCCTTTTAATTTCTTGCCTTGCCTATTTGATTTGCTCTGTTGGGCCTCATGGTGTTGTTGCCTTCATTGTCTTTTTCTAGGATCTTGTTTAGAATTGCTTGTAGTGCTGGTTTGGTATTCATGTAGTTTCTCAGGTGTTCTTTGTCGTGGAAGTGTCTTATTTCCCCATCCATTTTGAAAGAGAGTTTTGCTGGATACATCAGTCTAGGTTGGAGGTTGTTCTCTTTTAGTACTTGAAATATCTCATTCCAGGCTCTCCTTGCCCCAAGGGTTTGTGTTGAAAAGTCTGCTGTGATTCTGATGGGCTTTCCTTTGTATGTGATTTGTTTCTTTTCTCTTACTGCTTGTAGTATTTTGTTCTTCTGTTGGGTTTCTGGGATCTTGATTATTATATGTCTAGGTGTAGATTTTTTTTGATTGTAGCTAGTTGGGGTCCTATATGCCTCAGTTATCTGAATGTCAAATTCTTCCCCTCTGTTTGGGAAGTTTTCTGTCATTAATTCTGCAAACAGCTTTTTTAAGTCATTTGTATTTTCTCCTGCTACTTCATGTATTCCTATCAGTCTTATGTTATTCTTCTTTGCATCATCTAGGAGTTGTTGGATCGATTTCTCATGATCTCTTACTGTTTTTAAGAGACCTCTCTTTTCATGGTCACTGACTGCAATCTTATCTTCTATATCTGAGAGTCTATCTTCGCATTCTTTTATTCTGTTGTTTTCTTCAATGTTGTTTTATTCTGTTTTTCTTTCAATAGAGTGTTTAATCTCCTGGATATCTGTTTGAATCTGTTTTATGGATTCCATTTCTTTCCTATGTTGGGCGTTTAGTTTTTCCATTTCTTTCTTATGCTGGGCCTTCATGACTTCTATCGTGGTCCTGAGCTCATCTATTTTTTTGTCAGTTTCTGCTCTAGAGTCTCGAATCACAACTTCCATTTTGCTCACTATCTCTATGGTTATCTGGGAAATTATTTCTGTTTTGAAGTTTTCTAGAGCTTGATTGATCTGTTTTGTTACTTCCTGTGCTTTGAGTTCAGGGTGTTCTGGTGGTTCATTATCGGCCTTTTCATCCTCATTTGCCCTACTGTTTGCCATTGGTGAACTGGAAGTCTGTCCTTGTGTCTTGCTTAAGTGTTTTCTCATTTTAATTTTTGTTGTTGAACTGTTCTTGGTTTAATCTCTGGATTATCACCCAAATCTTCCTGATATAATTGAACCCTAGCTTCTGTGTCTCTAACGACCCACGGACATTCTCATCTTCATAACATCAGAGAAAACAGCTCATCAATTCAACGGCAATGCCTTACCCCAACTGATACAATCAGCAACACATTAAGATCAAGCACAACTTGGACACTGACCACCTGTGGTAGTCACTAGTCTATCACCCTTAAATCATTTGAATTGAATTGAAATCAAGAAGCAGTCCAGAACATGTCTGCAGTGAACAAACTTTTCAATATAGTATATTTACCATTTAATGGCTCAGACAGAGCGAGGATGCAAGACCCCTGATCTTAGCTGATTGCTGAACCCCATGACGCTGACTGACCTCAGGCTGCAAGGCCCAGATTGAGATCCCCATCCTTCTGAATGGTTGAACTCTGCAATGTTCTATTACAGGTTTCCCACGCCCTTTCTTTAAAGATGTTCAAAGTTGGGAACTCAGAAAAATACCCTTGATGACCACCTCTGTCTTTGCAGAGTGGGTCCAAAGACTTGCACAGTCAGGAGGTCTGACGGGGGAGGGTCATGGGGGTTCAGGGGCGTTGGCACTGCTACCTTCCCAGTGCTTGAGCGATGGCTGCTGGGTTGGGAGCAGGCGTGGTTCCGACAATACCTTATATTTTAAATTGTTTTAAAATTTATGAAGGGGAGGGCCAGGGATTTAGCTCAGTGGTCCTGCCTTGCAAGCTCAAGGACCTGAGTTCAATCCATGGTACTAAAAATAAAAACAAAATATATGAAAGGGAGCCAGGACTAGTGACATACTCCTGTGATCCCAGCACTTGGGAAGCTGAGGCAGGAGAATCACAGTGAATTGAAGGCCAGCTTGGGCTACATAGTGAATTGAAGGCCAGCCTGAACTATATAAAGAGACTCTTGTTTCAAAAATCAAAAAACAAACCAAACAAATATATGAAAGGAAAAAATAAATAAAAGCCTTAATTTATAAAGTTAATGTGTTTAAGTAGATACTGGAATTTGTAAGTTTTGGGTTGTTTTTGGTTTTTGGTTTTTGTTTTTGAGACAGGGTCTCGCTATGTAGTTCAGGCTGGCCTTAAGTTCATTATGTAGTCCAGCCTAGTCTCAAAACCATAGCAATCTTCCTGTCTCAGCCTCTGAGTCCTGGGATTACATATGTGTGTCAACACACCTGGTTTAAAACTCTTCTAGTGGTGTAGTAAGCACAAGATAAATATATGGTAAGACAAGAATTTATTTTTTTCCTTTTCTTTTTGTGGTGCCAGGGATCAAACTCAGGACGTTGCACTTACAAGGCAGGCATGGTACCACTGAGCTAAATCCTGCCCTAAAATTTCTTATAGTAATATTGTACCTACACTCCTTCTCAGATATAATCTTTTTGGTAACAGCCTTGTTTTAATTTTTCACAAAGAACTTCTAGCCAGTAATGTCATGTTTAATCCATGCAATGAGTATAGCAACCAAGATGATGAAACTGATCCATCTGGTTCTGACATGCAGCATTTCAGTGCTAAGGCTAGAGAAAGAAAAATCCAGGAAAACAGCAAGGGAACTGGGTCCCTGGCTCCCCAGGAGGTACTGAAAAATCAGCTGAAGTTTGCAGGTATTTATGCAAATAACATTATAGCAGGAATAACAAGGTCCCTGGCTTCAAGAACAGTCCTAGCAACATGAACTTTTAGGGTTCATTTTAACAATTGGGAAAAGGAAATGTATTTACCTTTCACATATTCTAAGGACTCTCACATCTGTGTTTGCACACAGCTCCTCAAGGGGGCCGGAGCAGGTTACGGTCTCATTATTGCTGTCTCATTATTGACCTGTGCAGAGTGTTTTAGTCCTAGGCAGAAAAGGACGTTTTGACCCCACCGTTTTAATCCACTGAATGTTTTGGCTGTGTCAGAGAGACAAATCAAAATTCACAGAAATCATGGCTACAAAAGATAGCTCATTATGGCAGTACTTAAAATGGAAAGTTTGATAGGGTAAAGATAAAAATGTGATGACTAAAATGAAACGCATTTTAAAAAGTACATGGAAAAAAATTATTCTAAGCATACACATTTCAATAACATAAAAACAGAAGTAGTTTCAGTGTACTGTATAGAAATGTTATCAAGAAGTAAGCTGATGATGAAATAGTGTAAATGAATATATTCCTAAATATAAAGCTCACAGTGACAGGATGCGAGGAGCACAGCTCAGAGGAAGCAGCTTGTTGAACATGCGTGGCTCTAGTTCCAGCCCCACACCTTGAGGAAACAGCAGGGTAAAAATCACACACCTGATTCAACAGAAAGATTAAAAAACAAGGAGTTAATCTTGCTTTAGTAGCAAACATACTAAACTTGGAAAGATACAGAGAAAATTAGCCTGGGCTTTGCATAAGAATGATATGCACATTTATGAACAATTCTGTTTTTTTTTTTTTTAGTACAGCTGCTATGGAAATCAGGATGGAGGTTTTTTGAAACATTAAAAATAGATATACCATTTAATCCACCTGTACTACTCCTCAGTATATTTCTAAAAGAATTAAAGTCAGAGTACTGTAAAGAAACCTGCATACCCATGTTTATTGAGGCCCATTTCACAATTAGCTAATGTATGGAATCAGCCTAGGTGCCTATCAACAGATGAACAGATAAATGAAGTCTTTATATATGGAGTATTAGCCTCAAAGAAGAATGAAATCATGGATAGAATTGGAAATCATCACGGTAAGTGAGAAAGCCAAATAGACAAATATTGCACTTTTTTCTCATATGTGGAGTCTAAAAAACAGAGTGAGGTGACCTAAGTGTAAGAAGGCCTGTTGGAAAAGAAGACCAGGGATTTAGCTCAGTGGTTCTGCCCCCTGCCTCACAAATACAAGCGCAAGGTCCCGAATTCCATATCTGCTACCAAAAAAAAAAAAAAAAAAAAAAAAGACAGGAACAAGGAGAGGGAGAATGAAGGAGGAAATGGGAAGGGGTGGTGGAGATGACCAAGTACCTTATATGCCTGAACAGAGTTTTTTTTTTATGTACAGATTAGCCAAAGTGAAGCCCTCTGTATAACTACTAAAACCAGAAAGTAATGACAATTAAAAAGAAAACAGAGATGAAAAATAACATCATTAAACTGGGCACAGTAGCATATACCTATAAATCACAGCTACTCAGAAGTCTGACAGGATTGCAAGTTCGATGTCAGCCTGGGCAATTTGGTGTCAACAATAAATAAATATACCTAGGAAATAGCTCAGTAGCTGATCACTTGCCTATTAGGGACAAAGACTTAGATTCAGGCAGTCCTCAGTCCTACCAGAAAAGTAAAATAAAATTTAATTTAATTTAAAAACGGGACGGCATCAAAACAGCATTATTGCCAGGGATTTAGCTCAGTGGTGCCACCGCCTGCCTCTGAAGCACAAGGTCCAGTACTGCAAAAACAACAACAAAAAACCACAGCATTATTGACTTGATATTTAGAATCCTGCCTGCCTTCTTTCCTCCTATGTAATGTTAAATAAGTTTTACTTCCAAGCCCTCGCTTTATCTGTAAAGTGAGAAGTGTAATGGCCAGAACTACCCCATCATGTTACGGACTAAATGAGATAATAATGTATTAAAGTGCATAGCACAAGCGAAAGGTGCTTTAAACCTGCCCTTTTTCAGAATGTATCTTAAACTTAAAATGTGCAGGATAATTATTCCAAAAATAGATCTTCTACTTACTAATTTACTAAGTACTCAGGCTGGGCTTAAACTTGTGATCATCTTGCCTCAGCCTCCTATCACAGGATTTTTTTAAAAACTACATTTATTAGGCCAGGAATTTGGCTCAGTGGTTCTGCTGCCTGCCTTGCAAGCACAAGGGCCTGAGTTCGATCCCCGGTACCAATAAAAAAACAAAAAACAACCCTACATTTATTTACTTATTATGTGGTGCTGTGAAATTGAACCTAGGGCCTAAAGTGTGATAAGCAATTGCTCTACCACTGGGCTACATATCCAACACCTACATTTATTGTAATTGAAGAAACACTCAAAGCAGATTACAGATTACATTAGAGTGTTACCACTGATTATTTATATATTTTAAAATAGATTTCAATTTAGAAAACATTGTCCCAATTAACTATTGAGGTAAATTGAAAATACTCCAGATTTTTAATTTTTTTTTTTTTTTTTTTTTTTTTTTTTTTTTTTTTGTACCAGGCATGGAACTCAGGTCCTTCCACTTGCAAGGCAGGAGGCAGAACCACTGAGCCAAATCCCTGGCCCTTACTCCAGATTTTTAAGAATAAAAAAAAGTGGGTTTTTAAAATATTTGACACGAGTAGTTAATTTAATTTGGCTTATTCATCCAATAATTGCTCTATCATTTTCAAGAAAAAAATGGCCAGTGGTAGATCAATTGCCTAGTACACTTTAGGCCCTGGATTCAATTCCCAAGCACAACATAGTGGCCTCTCTGCCTGAAATCCCAGAACTCCACAGGAGGATCATGAGTTCAAAACCAGCCTGGGTATGTTAGCAAAATATTGTCTCAAAATAAACAAAATAAAACAAAACAGCCGAAGAGATAGTTCAGTGGAAAAGGCCTGGGGTTTAATCCCCAGCACCACCAAAAAAGAAAAGAAAAAAAAAACAAAACCCTGGACTTGGTGGTACATGCCTGTAATCCCAGCACTACAAAGGTTAAGATTGCAGGAGTTCAAAGCCAGCCTGAATTACACAGTGAAAACTTGTCTCAATCAATCAATGAATCAATCAATCAAACAAAGGCCAATGTTAGTTTGACTAACAGGAATGAGAAATCATTCAGCCTATCATAATAAAACAGACATAATAAAATGTGCCCACTTCACAGAGTTGTTATAACTAATTAACTGCTTTGAAATTCTCATGTGAAAACTCTCCTATCTTTATCTAAGGAGCCCCAAGGTAAATGTGGAAGACACTGCTCATCTAAAAGCTCAACTTGGCTCTTGGTTGAGTAACTTCAATTTCTATTTGACAAAAAAGGAATTTAGATGTCCCAGGGATTTAGTCCAGTGGTTCTGCCGCCTGCCTCGAAAGCATAAGGTCCTGCGTTCGATCCCTGGTACGAGGAAGAAAAAAAAAAAAAAAGAAGAAGACGAAAGTAATTTAGCAGATGGAATGTTGTTATACAATTTGTAAAATACAAATCCAAAAGCATATAATATTCTCCCCCATTATCTCGTCTCTCACAGAATCTCTGTGTAATACAGACATAGGAGGTTAGGGCGTGGCAAAACTGGCTGGAGGAGTAGGTGTGACCTGTTTAGTTACAAGATCCTGGACACATGCTCAGAACAGTTCTCAAAGCCCTGCCCACGGACTTCTCATGAGAACTCCAGCAGATTTTCAATAGGATGGCCTACACCTGACATCACCCTGGGGCAAAGGATCTCAGCACTACCTTTTAGGACCTAGATGTAGAAGTTCTCGTGAGTTTCCTCCAGATCTGGATGGCATAAAAGGACACAGATGCTAAGAAGAGCTTGCTCTGGTGGCTTTCTTGATGCTATCCTGCCCTGTGTCCTTCAGGGTGTACTTTTATTGCTTTTTCCTCTTTTTCTCTGCTCAAGCTCCCTCTGCAGAGCTAGCTTCTTCCTCACTCTACTTTTTCAGGTAAACTTTGCCACTGCTTTTAGTTCATTTTGTTCAATTTTTTGTTTGTTTGTTTGTTTAAGACAAGAAGAACCTAACTTCCAGATCTGGAATCTAACTCCAGAAGGATAGGAGAGCAACCCAGAATCCGGTAACGTTTAATTGGTGAGCCACTTTTAGAAGGAAGCTACCCAATAACAGTACCAAGAATCTGTACACAAAGTGTTTTCAGTGTTCAAACATATTTAGCTTATTAAACCTTTTTCTTGCTTTCATTTGTTTATTTTTCTTGCTTTTAAAAAAATGTAAAGTTTTAAAGGAATTTAAACTTTTTCTTGCTTTTTTTGGGGACAACAACAACAACAACAACAAAGCACTTATTAATTGTTTTTAGATTTCAGAAGTTGAGTATAGTGGTACACACCTGTAATTCCCAGCCTGGTAGGAGGCTGAGCAGGAGGATACCATGTTCAAACCCAGCCTAGGTAATTTAGTGACTTAGCAAGACCTTCTCTTTTTTTTTTTTTAGATAGGGTCTCACTATACAGTTAAGACTGATAGGTAGCCCAGGCTGGTCTTGACCTCACAGCAATCTTCAGTGCTGGGATTACAGGCATGCGCCACCACACCTGGCTAGCAAGACCTTGTCTTAAAATAAAAACTAAAAACAAAAGAAAACAGTGTGAAGCCCCTGGTTCAATATTTAGTACTGCACAAAAGAAAAAAAAATTACTAATATATAGTATAGCTTATATAACATCATAGATAAGCATATATAAATATTCATATGTACATGCCCTCTGAAAAGTTTGTACCAATTTACACAGTGACATATTTATTTAAGTAATTGTCTATGCATCTCAGTGGGTATGTAAGTGATATCACGTAGTAATTTTGACTTAGATTTTCCTAATGGCCAGTGATGTTGAATATCTCTTTTTTGAGACAGGGTGTCACTATGTAGTTCCAGCTGGCCTCAAACTCCTAACAATTCTTCTGCCTTAGCCTCCCAAATGCTAAGATTACAGGTGTGAGACACCATGCCCAGTTTACCACTTTTTTTTTTTTTTTTTTTTTTACCAGGGGATCAAACTCAGAACATTGCATCTCTGAGTCAGGTGCAGTGCCACTGAATTAAATCCCCAGCCCTTACCACTTTATTCTTTAAGATATTTTTTACTTTACTAGATCTCTTACATTTTTATATGAAATTTGAGATTAATTTATTCATTTCTGTGAAACAAGCAGCTGGGATTACTCTCAAGAAAATTTCATTAATATGCCTCTTTGCTTTTTTTTGTTGTGTTTTGTTTTTTTGAGACAAGGTCTCACATGCAGTTCAGGCTGGCTTTGAATTCACTATGTACCCCAGGCTGGCCTCAAACTCATAGCAATGCTTATGCCTCAGCCTCCTTAGTATTGGGATTACAGACATGTGCCACCACACCAGGCAGAAACTAGCATTTTAGAGGTATGTGTATATTGCGTGTGCTGGGGTTCCTATTTTGTCAGATTCACAATCAGATTCCATAGCTGCAAGAGGGTAATGGTTGTTGTCTTTCAAATAAATATTAGAATTATTTACAAAATTAAAATTTTTTCCCTACTATATGTAAAATTATATTATTTATTTTATTTATTTTTTGGCAGTCCTGGGGATTGAACCCAGAGCCGTGGGCGTCATAGGCAAGTGCTCTACCACTGAGGTGTACCCCAGCTCTGAAATCTTACTTTTATTTATTTATTTTTTTGTACCAGGGATTAAACTTGGGACCTTGTGCTTGCAAGGTAGGTGCCGGAACCA